TGGCAGAGGAAAGAAACGAGTGCCAAAACTGGCCCTGTCTGCTCCCAGGGGGAGGGGAGGCTATGGGGGAAGATAAACACCTGCCTACTTGCTCGTCCCACCATCTGAACTCGCTCCTGTAGACCAGACCCCAGGAAACTAGGGGACTATAATGATCATGGAATGTAGTCCGTAGCAGTCAGCCTGCCCAGGCACAGAGCTGGGCAGAAAAGGGTGGGGAATGGGCAATCAGAAAATCACCAGCATGTTGTTGGTAAGGACTGGAGAGGAGGCAAGTGATGCCACTCTGTGGTTCAGTCATGGCAGGGGACTTCCTGAGGCGAGGATTAGAAACCTGTTGTCCTGCTCCCACCTTTATGAGGCTAACCTCTACACCGACACCCTACTACCCAGTGTTTCTTTGGGTTCCTTTGCCAATTGATAGGTAGTTTAGCCTTTCCTCCAAGAAGGCTCTGAGATGGGAGCAGGACAGTTCTTTAATTAAATGCCCACTGCACCCTAGGGTGAAAAGAGGATCACTATCCTCATTCCTGTCTCATATTTGCTCAGCTGTTTTTTGTCCAACTGGTTTGCCAGAAGCTATGCAACGGGATCAGGTGACAATATAAACATATGACAATATGATGTTTGATAGTGATGCAATACCAACTAAGTTGAAATGTCCCAAATAAACTTCCATCACAAAGTTTCATCAATACTAAGAGGTAAGCTTTCTTTCCCCCCCACATTTTAACCTTTATAATATGGGGAGTCAAATGACAATCTCATTTGCCGGGCAGCTGTTACAATGGAGGTGTCATTGCCTGCCATGTGCATCAAAACTGGAAGAATGGGCATCAGCAGCTTGGAAGAAAACCCAGCAGACAGAGCAGAGCACTTTTGTAAAATGCTCCGTCACGGGTGCTCTTGATAACGCAGAAGGTGACACTGTCTGCAATCACACAGGCCACTCTGATTTAAAAAGTGGCCCAGCCATAGGGACAGAAGGTGAATTAGTGGTTGCGGGTAAGAGAGTAGGAGCAGTGGGCTGGGGAATAATGGCTAATGGGTGTAAGGTTTCTTTTTGGGGTGATGGAGACATTCTGGAATATGTAGCGATGACGGTAAGCATATTAAAAACCATTGAACTGTATACTTTCAAAGGGTGAATTTTGTGGTATGAGCATGATATCTCAATTTTTGAAAGGTAATTTGAAACCTGAGGGGAAGCTAGGTAGTACATATACAGGAACTCTTTTTTTTTTTTTTTTCTGACAGAGAGAGATAGCAAGAGAGGGAACACAAGCAAGGGGAGTGGGAGAGGGAGAAGCCGGCTTCCCGCTGAGCAGGGAGCTGGCTATGGGGCTCGATCCCAGGACCCTGGGATCATGACCTGAGCCAAAAGCAGATGCTTAACTGACTGAGCCACCTAGGCACCCCTATAGGAACTCTTTGTGCTATTTTTGCAAGTTATTGTGAGTCCAAAATTATTTCAAATCAAAAAGCTTGAAAGAAATGTGAGAAGGGGAAACACTGTAAAACGGAGGTCTTAATGTAAAAAGATCTGTATGTAGAGTATGTTCTAGACTTGTGTGAAGGCTTAAGAAAATAAAATGATATTCACTAAAAGCTCTTTTCCAACTCTGAAAACAAACATGATTCAGAATATTTGGGTTCTGAATATAAAGAGCTTCTAAGAATACTTGGTTATTTTGCTCATGTTTTTCCTTTTTATGTATGCACAAGAACAACATATGGTAAAATCTATGTCTAAGTAAGTCTAAAAGAGCTTGTTAAGTAAGTATAAGATCAACATTTTAAGTGACAAGTGTTGTGTTAAAGTTTATTTGGCAGTTTCTCCCCCTTCCGTGGTGGTATTTAGATGTTCTGAAATACAGTCTTACATTCCCAAGGAGCAGTGAAAGCTACCAGACCGGATCTCCACGTGCTTGTAAGAGGAAGCCCACAGACATGGAAGTGTACAGTTATCTCTTTCACAAACTTGTCCTTTTTTTTTTGTTTTTTTAAGATTTATTTATTTATTTGACAGAGAGAGAGAGTGAACACAAGCAAACGGAGCTGCAGGCAGAGGGAGAGGGAGAAGCAGGTTCCCTGCTAAGTGGGGAGCCCTGTGTTGGACTTGATCTCAGGACCCAGGATCATGACCTGAGCCGAAGGCAAATGCTTAACTGACTGAGCCGCCCAGGATCCTGCACACAAACTTGTTCTGTTCAAGGTCACTGAACTCAGTGCCTGGGAAGAGAGGGGGGTTCCCTCTGTGGTTGCGGCCAACGTCTCTTCTATGTTCCACTGTTGGAGTCCAAAGGGTTAACAGGACATAACCGGTTACCCCAGCACCAGCCCCACACCTGAGAAACTTAGGATAACATGAGCCCATCTGCTGGTCCGTGTGGCATTTAGACCTGTTGTATCAGCCCTGATTATCAGCTGTGAGCTGTACGAGGGCGTTCTACCTGATTTAAGCAGAGAAGGAATTTATGGATAGTTCTTTGAAGAGTTGGGGGAGTTTCAGGGGGGGACTGGAAAACCTGGCTTTGAGTGGTGTGACCTGTCAACTGGCCCATGAAGACCCAGTTGTCCACTCCAGAGCTGTGCACTGCCCTCTTCGTGGAGAATTCTCTGCCAGGCCCCCGTGTCTGTAGATCACTGACTCCGGATTCAAAGCTCTGGGTGAGTGTGTCTCACTGACTGGGCCTTGGTCATGTGGCCGCACCCATGTCATGTGGCTGCAAGGGAAGCTGGGAAAGTGAGTAAATGGCATTTCTCGTTCTATAATAGGAGATAGACTTTGCCTCCCACCAAGACTCTTAAGGAGGGGGAAGAGGTGGCGGGTGATGGGCAGCCCAAATCGTGGTGAGTATCTACTTCAATCAAAATAAGGTTCTTAGAATCTCAGAACACACACATAGTACTGGTGCCAGCTGCAAACCCTGGCAGAGGCCTAGCGGTAGCTGAGGGAAGGAAGGAAGACTGAGAAAACAGGAAAGAGAAAATCTTGTCGCTATCAGCCTTGTCTGAATGCCTTTGAGTCTCCATGGCAGTTTGCTACAGTGCTTGACCTGTGAGCTTTTTGGGGGTGGAAGACCTCTTTCATCCAGAGGTTAATTGTGGCCTAGGTATACCATATCCTATCTGGAAACTGAAACCTTCCCACCCTCTTGAAAAATTTAGAAATTTTTAATGATGGTCCAGCATTCGCTAGAGCCTCCTTTCTTCCCCATTCTGTATATTTAAAACCCCCTAATTTCTCTTTCCCCCATGTCTCTGTCAAAACCAGTTCTTCTTATGAGCAGCCCTTGCAGTGGGGTGCAGATCAGCTGGCTCCCTGGAGGAGACAGAGAGAGAGACCCTGATTTCTAGCATTTGCCAGTTTCCTTGGTGTAAGTACTCCCCCCGTGGAAGATTTCAAGCTACCAAAGTTGTGCCTTGCAAAACCCCTGAATATTTATCAGCTTTTCCAAGCCCCTAGGTACTATTGCCTCTTGCCCAGAATGTCTTAGGCCTGTAATACCGGCCTCCTAAAGCAGTTTTCTTACTTTTTTAATCTGGAGAAACCATTCCTAGAGGATTTCTCAACCAAAGCTGCTGTTGGCTATATGCTCCATGATGGAGTCCCAGAACCTAGAACAGTACCCTGCACATATTTGTTTGTGGTGGTGGTTTTGAACCTCTTCTCTGGTTTTTGGGGGGCACAACCTGTCGCCCATGTGCTAGGCCACAGAGCAATGCCTTTCTCTTGGGTATTCAAGTTGTGCCAAAGGCCGCAGAGACTGTCTGTTTTTTTTTCTGTGAAGTGGGATGTGTCTCTGATCATCCGTTTGCCTCTGTCGTTCCACTTCTCTTTTTTAGGAAGATTCAGCCCCATTTTCAACATTTTAATATGCCTTCCCCCCCCCCCCATTTATATGTCAGAAAAAGAGAGAGAGTGCACAAACAGGGGGAATGGCAGGCAGAGGGAGAAGCAGGCTCCCCACTGACTGAGGGGCCTGATGCCCCTCTATCTCGGGACCCTGGGATCATGACCTGAGCTGAAGGCAGAGTTTTAACTGACTGAGCCTCCCTGGTGTCCCTTTAATGTGCTTCTTAAGTTGATCATTTCCTTCTTTATCAGGTAAGCCAGCGATGTTTTTGCTGTATCGATTAGCGTTTTACTCTTCCTTTCCCTTTGCTTTTGAGTCAAGACGTTTGCTTTCCTGATGCACTCTTTAGACTCTGTCTTGTGGGGTCCACCCCAGCAAACAATGTGACGTAATGAAGTTCTGAGTCTGCCAGAAATACAGCTGTCGACATGGGTCTTGCCCTCCTTTATCTCTCCTCTTGGCTGGGTGTTTTTCGTGGATGGAGCTAGCATCCTGGACCGGTATCTAACCTAGGCCTGGACTCCATCTACCAATGTCCTGCCTGGTTTGCATGCAGCTCATTTCATCTTCCTGGGCCTTTCCTGAATGTCCTCCTCCAGAAGTTTCCTGGGTAGGTTCCCTCAGGGCACATGCCAGGCCTGCATTGTCTCCTGTCATGACTAAGCCACCTTAAAGCCCACTGGTAATGCTAGAAGCATTCTGTGCTCATCTTCCCAGACCTCCCCCCTCCAATCTGGCCATGGTTACGTGACTACCTGTTATAACTGTCGCAATCTTTAAAGGGTGATTCCCCAATTAAACTTATTGTTGACTCCTTATCTGACCTTTTACGAGGGTACTTCTCAAGAGCTTCCTGGAACTGTACTTCTCTGGTTGGGGTGGCAGGGTCTAGAATATTCCAGCCTGTTCTCTGAAATTTCACCTCCCTCTATGAGAGCTCACCTCCCTCTAGTCAACCTTTCTGGTCTAGTAATAACCAAAACAAACAAAAAGATGTTTAACACCTTCTTTAAGAGTGGTTAGGACCAAGCATACATATCTCATTTCACCTTTCATATTGGACTAGCCTGACCTCCATGATCAAAACCTGTCTTTTAAGGAAATCCTTCTCTCTACATGGCTGTGATGGTAAGGCTCCATGCTGGACGATAAGAATAGAAACTGGCTGCGAACAACCAAGGTATGTCTCTGGCCGGACCCCAGGCTCCCCCTTCTGACCACCCCCTCTGTTATCATTCTGACACTCTTTTATTTATTTTCCCCTCTCCAGCTGCTCTCATTCTGACTTCAAGATTAAAGTTTTGTTAAAGAAACAAGTATTCAGAGATCTTGTTAGAGAATGAATGGTAAGGCAGACTCTCGGGCAGGAACCACTACAATGGGGTTTTGCAGTAGGGGAGAGAGATTGGGCTCAACTCAGAATACAGCATGGGCAAGTGGGAATGTACAACCAAAGAGTGAGGAGGGGTGTGTGTGGATGGAAAATCACTCAGAAGAAGCATCAGGAGTTGGCGGCAGGGAGGGGTGGTGGTGTTCTGGCTAAGCCCACCTCACAGGACTCTTGCTGAACGCAGGCCAGGGAGATTGGACATCGCCTGGGGGTGCTGGAGGACAAGGAACCCAATTAGATATCAAGGGGAGGTGGGATTCTGGTTAAACTGACTTAACAGGATTCTTACTAACACTGGACAATGTAGAGATAAACATGGAAGCCCAGGGGTCAGGGGCCAGTTGAGAAAAGAGTTCAGAAGAGCCTTACTAGAGTTTGTTTCTAAACCAATCCAGTTCCTCCTTGATTCCTGGATACAGTATGTTACAGTATGTAAAAGACACAGGAATTTTACTATTTTATTTATTTATTTGACAGAGAGAGAGAGAGCGTGAGCGCAAGCAGGGGGAGTGGCAGAGGGAGAGGGCGAAGCAGGCTCTCCCCTGAGCAGGGAGACTCAGGACTCTGGGATCATGACCTGAGCAGAAGGCAGATGCTTAACTGACTGAGACACCCAGGCGCGCCCTGCCTTTTACTGTTCTTTCTAAGCCTTTGATTTACTAATATTTTCATTAATGCCCAAGAAGATGGCCTGCCAACCATCAAAAAAGGCCCTTATTTGAATCTCTGATCAAAGCCATGGCTGGGCTTAGGTAACAAATCTAGAGGACTTTCGATCCACATGGTGGGGCTTCAGGGTGATTCTAGGAATCTATAGGTAAGCCTTAAGGATCCAGGAGGTTAATTCCATTTCGGTTCACTCCTTGGCCCTAAAGCAAATGGGTTCAGTTCAACATAACAGAGAGGAAGAGCATTTGAGGTAGTTGATTTAATGCACCTAATGCTAGAACTGCACAACTGGTTTGTTCTAACCCGGTGTTCTCAGTGGTCCACAGTATGGCTCCACCTGGGAGCTTGTTAGAAATGCTCATGCCAGAGCTACTGAATCGCAGGGGCGGGGCGGGGGGGAGCCCAGGAAAGTAAACAAACTCAGTAGGTGAGTCTTACAAATGTTAAGAGTTCAGAGAACCACAGCTCTCACCCCAGTGGTACCTAGCTCCCTTTACAGGACATTTCAGGTGAAATGGCTTCCCTTAGGTGGTTCCTGGCAAAGAAATATGGTAGGATCAGCAAGAAATTTTCCTGACCACTAGTGCCTAAAGAATTTTTTCACTGGAACTCTGTATGCTTTAAGTGATGGAGAGAGTCCTCTAATCCCCGTGTTGGGTGTACCCGCTTAGATCTGTAAGTTGCAAAAGCCTTCACAGCCTGTATGCACTGAGGTTGCAAAGGCCTGGGTTTGCCCAAGCCCCTTGACACCAGTCTCATTAAACTGCTGTGTCTTAAAGCAGTCAGGGACCTGGAAGCCCTCTGCTTACAAGTACCTACAACCTTCCAGCCCAGCCACACCTGAAGCATCCTTCTTTCTGGGTATATCTTATTTCTCCTATCTTGGTGCCCATTTCTTTTTTCTTTCTTCCTTCCTTTCTTTCTTCCTTCCTTCCTTTCTTTCTTTCTTTCTTTCTTTCTTTCTTTCTTTCTTTTAAAAGATTTTATTTATTTATTTGATAGAGAAAAATCACAAGTAAGCAGAAGGGCAGGCAGGGGGCTGGGGGGAAGCAGGCTCCCTGCTGAGCAGAGAGCCCTATGTGGGACCCCAGGACCCTGAGATCATGACCTGAGCCGAAGGCAGAGGCTTAACCCACTGAGCCACCCAGATGCCCCGTGGTGCCCATTTCTTAAGTTTTCCTGGTTTGTAGACCATGGAGTGGGGTTTGGTGGTGAAGAGGAAACAAATTCAACTCCTTTCATCCAAGTTCAGAATCAACTGAGCGTTAAGATCAGATTGCCACTAGGAATCAGTAGACCAATTTTATTGCTGCTCAAGATGAACTGGAAAATGCAGCTGGAAATCTATAGTCATCATTGGGCTTCATCATACCTTCACCTCGAATTGAACTTCTCCACCCCCATTGCCAGCCTTCTGGTCTGCTGGGGATGTTGCCAGTCCCGGCCATGTTGTCACCAGAGCTAGTGCAGTCTTTCTCCAATCTTTCCCATCAGCTCAATTTCGCGGTCTTTGGAGGAGAGTGGTAAGTAGTAAAGAGACAGCCAGGAGAGGTGCTCCAGACAGCTACTTCCTGGGGCGAATGGGAGGATGCAGGAATAAGAGTTGCCCTGGTTGTGGAAATAGTATTTGAGAGCATTGGCCCCAATGAAAGAGTCTAGAATGGGAAGACAGGAAGGTCAGGATTGAGACTTGAGGAAGGCTCACATTTAAACATGTTTGGTTTTTTTTAAGGTTTCTTTTTTAGATTTTATTTATTTATTTGTCAGAGAGAGAGAGAACACACAAGTAGGCAGAGTGGCAGGCAGAGTCAGAGAAAGGCAGAGAGAGAAGCAGGCTCCCCACTGAGCAAGCAGCCCAATGCAGGACTCGATCTCAGGACCCTGGGATCATGACCTGAGCCGAAGACAGCTGCTTAACCACCTGAGCCACCCAGGCATCCCTAAACATGGTTTCAAGGAGGAAGCCCCAGCCAGAGCAATCGAAAAGCCAGAGAGAGAGGAGGAGAACCAGGAGTGTGTGGTGCCATAGGGGCCAAGGGAATATAATTTTAAGGAGAGAGTGATCAGCAGGTTCAAACTTTCCTGAGAGCTTATAAAATGAGAAAAAAACTGTCCCTTAGGTTTAGCCACATGTTGACCTTATTGAAGGGTGAGAAGGGGGAACCGAGTTTTGGGGTAGTCTTTGGAGGGTGTCCACAGGGAGGGTTTTACATGAGGGACAAAGCTTGTTTGAAAACTGATGGTGAATGACAGCCTTCTGGCTTGTGGATAATGTGGTGCAGGGGTGGGGGCGGTAAAATAGCTGGTACCCCATCCTCCAGGCCAGACGCCTTCAGTGAGGGGCTCTGTCTGTCTGCCTGCCTAGGGCACCTTTTCCTAATTTGCACGAAGTTGCAGTGTGAGCTAACAGCAGCCTTGGGGGAGTGGATGCTGGAACATAAGACATGCTATAAAGGATAGTAGGTCGCATAGTCACCTGCAAAGCCAGGGCTAGAAGCTGAAGGCTTCTGGCTCCAAGTTCCCAGATAGCTCCAAACATCCTGGGGGCAGACACAAGGAAGGCTCTTCTTCACTTCAAGAGCTTGCCTGTATTTTTGGCAATCCCTAATTATTGTAGCACCAGCCGACCATGTATTGAAATCCTGATCTGGCAAGAATGGCCAGGATCCAGTGGTCCTAACCCTCCCACAGTGACAACCACTTGGTTCCCCTAGAGATCCACACTTTAGATTGATGGCGAGGGGACCTACAAAGGTAACAGACCAGCCTCTGCTTCTCAGGACGGGAGAGTGTTCCTTGGACCAGTTTGTGGTTTCTCCCTACCTTCTGTCCCTTGTCTCAGAGCCCGCATTCTTGAAGAGTTGGTCTTCAGATACAGTTCTGATAATCATGGACTTAACTTTTTATAGTTTCTTACTTACTCGGTGTCATTATTTCTAACTTTGACCTAACAGAAATATTACCATCAGAGACTTCTTTTTTTTTTTTAAGATTTTATTTATTTATTTGACAGACAGACATCACAAGTAGGCAGAGAGGCAGGCAGAGAGAGAGGAAGCAGGCTCCCTGCTGAGCAGAGAGCCCAACTTGGGGCTCGATCCCAGGACCCTGGGATCATGACCTGAGCCGAAGGCAGAGGCTTTAACCCACTGAGCCACCCTGGCACCCCCATCAGAGGCTCCTTAATGATAAGCTTCCCCCTTCTTGTTTCACACTCTTGTAGTTTCCTAAACCAATCAGCATATGCCCACATACCTGGAAAACAAAAGTACACTTGGGAGAGAGTGGCAGTTTTGCTAAGGATCTAACACACCTTAGTATTTGTTTCCCTTTTTAATATATTTGTTTTCCTATAGTGTAAGTCAAATTCCATAAATAACAACATATTACTACAAAGGTGCATTTAGTTTATATTAAGATTTAAATATCTTATTGAAGAGAAAAAATTAAGATCAATGCTTAAAGTTTATTTTAAATTGGCCTCTGGATAATTTAGATATGTAAGATTTTTCTCTCTCTCCCTCTGTCTGTCTGTCTGTCTGTCTCTCTGTCTCACACACACACACACACACACACACACACACACACCCAGCAATCCTATCAAACAGATTTTAAAAGTCTAACTTCAGATACTATAATTGGGAGTCACTTAGTCAACACTTTTTTTTTTAAGATTTTATTCATTTATTTGACAGAGATCACAAGTCGGCAGGCAGAGAGGCAGGCAGAGATGCAGGCAGGAGGAAGCAGGCTCCCCATTGAGCAGAGAGCCTGATGTGGGGCTCTATCCCAGGACCTTGGGATCATGACCTGAGCTGAAGGCAGAGGCTTTAACCCACTGAGCCACCCAGGCGCCCCAATTAGTCAACAATTTTAAGTCAATGAAAATCTATCCATATTTTTGGTGTTCAAAAGTAATTAGAATGACAATAGAAAGATTAGGAAATGTTTAGATGGAAGACATGGCTGGAATATGTGAGAGAAAAATGATCAAAATGACTGTGCCTGGAGTATCCAGAAACTTAAGAGATGTTTCCTGAGAATAAGTAAGTACAGAAACATTGCTGTATCTACTATATAAAATATGCCAAACTCTTCTTTAGCAGTTAAAATATTAACTACATTGGATGGAGGTGCCTGGGTGGCCCCATCGGTTAAGTGTCCCATTCTTGATTTCGGTTCACGTCATGATGTTATGGTTGTGAGATCAAGCCCTGTGTCGGGTTCTACACTCAGTGAGGAGTCTGCTTGGGATTCTGTCTTCCTCTGCTCCTCTACCCTGCCCCC